CCCCCGAAACCGGGGATGCCGAGAATACATGATGTGCTCTCTCGCCAAAGCCTGCGGGTTAGGCGCACAAACAGATTTCTGATGACTTGGCTTTCGGATAAAATGTCAAAAGTTTGGCTTCCCCAAACGCGACATGGTAGACGTGAGAAATGTCACGGTCATCTCAAACGCTCTCCCAAGGAGGCAGCACAGCTTGCCCCGCGCGCAGGTCGTGGGGATTCTCAGCCGCTTTCGTGTGGGCGTAGGTGCGGGAAGAGGCGGCGGCATAGACGGCGGCGGGGAGGGAGTACGTGCACCACTGCGAGGACCATCCCCGGTTCGCTCGTTGAGCCGGGAGTGGCAGCAAACGACCAAGCTCCCTTCTCTCCCCTCTCCATCTTTCTTCGCTCCCGAGCTCTAAGCTACCGAGACTAACTAGCTCCTGGAGCTTTTGCGCCGCTGTGTTCTTGGCTAGGGTTTGTTGTTTGCACGCCAAGGGGCGGGAGGTGGCATGGAGGTATTATGCCATGGCCGTGTTGATATAGGATCCGGGTCGTTTCGTGGTTGGCGTTTGCTCTCTGGGTTCTAGTCTGGAAGGTTGTTGTCATAGCCTCCCGTGTCTCGATCATTCTTTCTGCTCCATCTTCTTCTCATCCTTCTAGTCACTTCATCTACACCGGCTTGCTGCGCTCTCCCGTCCATGATTAGGAACTTGGAACCGATGAATCAGTCATTATGGGTGCACAAGATCTCGCCCCGGCTGACACACATGATGACTGGACGGCAAGGACAGCACCGGAAGGGACCGGGTCCATGCCCTGCCTAGGCACTCGGGAGACCTTGCCGTTACCCGGAGCAAGATCCAGCTTCGACAAAGGCCATCGATAGCCGAAGGAGCCCCCGCAGAGCTCGAAAGGAGGGAGGTAGCTTTTCTTTCTTTTCGTCCCTTGCCCACAAGACACCACTTTGCATTCAGAATGTGGCGCTTGGATTCACGGCGGTATGCACAGCGCTCATATCCGACACCGGCCACTGCTGCGTAGCCGAGTCGGGCATCAAGAGAAACTGGGTGGCAGGGGTAGCAGATCATCAAACATCATCAGATTCATGATGGTTTGGGTATCTCAGATCGAAATAGTCAGTCAGTCATAGGCGCCCTCATGCCTCGCGTTTCTAAAGCCTTTCTTTTGGATCTCCTGTTGACTCATTGGCATCTCTTCTGGATAGGGTATTAACCAGGACATGGAAGGTAATGCGATATAACAAAAAAAAAAAAGCCATTTAGAATTGGTCTAGAGCAAAGAAGCGACTTGTTAGTGAGCGTTCTGCGTGTGGGGGGGAGACCAAAGCTGCCATTGGAGTTATACAGTAAAGGGGGATCGCGACTAGAAACGGGGTTTAACGGACCTAGCGTCATGCTTATGCTCACGTCTGTGTTCTCGACCATCTTGGTGAACTCCTCGAAGCTAATCTTGCCGTCCTTGTCCAGGTCGGCCTCCATGATGGTCTTGTCGACAATCTGCTGCAGCTGCTGGTCCTTGAGATTGGACCCAACCATCATCTTGAGCACGATGAAGAGCTCACCATTGCTAATGTAGCCGTCGCGGTCGATGTCGTACACCTTGAAGGCGAACCGGAGCTTTTGTTCCTTGTTGCCCTTGCTCGAGAAGGCCGAGAGCCCGGAGACGAACTCCTGGAAGTCGACGTCGCCGCCGCCGTCCTCGTCGAAGATGGCAATCATCCTGTTGCGACAGCGCAGTGATGGTCAGTGTCCGATTGTCCAGGATGTGTGGTCTGGCACAGCGGTTAGGTAATGCGACGCGATGGATAGTACCTTGTCGCTAGAGGGTTCGACGAAATCTGGGGTAGGCTGAGGAACTCGTCGCGTTCAATCGTGCCCGAGTTATCCTGCAGACACGGCGCGGGCCGCAAACCGTCGGTCAGCCTCGTGAGCTCTCTTGGGAAAGGTCCCTTGTATTCCTTGTCACCGCCAGTCTTCCTAGTCAAAGACATGCCTTGTCGAGCTTCATGAATCTCTTCCTGAGTCTGTCCACCTCCTCCCGATCAACTGCGCGAGTTCCCAATTCACTGTCAGTCTAGCCCGGTGGGTGCAAAAAAGACGACGCGCTTAAAAGTCGGGTGACAGGCAGAGCAACCGACAGTTGGAGCCCTGGACAATGTTGTCCAGGACCGAGGAAGTTGTATTGCCCATGGTTCCGGTTGTGTGTAGGATTTGCGCGGGCTCGATGCGACGGAAGACGGAGGACGAGGGCAAGGGCCGGAAAAGAACCAAGGGTCACGGCGCGAAGGTGGTTCGGTACTCGAGGTGGAATAATCATGCAGTCGCAGGAATGAAGGCGTGGGATATCAGCGAGCGATAGCTAGACGAGCCGGGCCGATGGGCGTTGGGAGGGTTCGTGGGAAGGACTCGTGAGGAGGGCTCGAGGGCAGGGCGTTGGGCGCGCGGAGCGGTGCAGCCGAGTTGAGTGTGGTTGGCTGGTCGAGATAAGGCTGAGATGACTTCAAAGTCCCGCTTCCATGTCCTGCGTTCCTGTCAGGCTGCCCTGGCGGCAAGAAAGGGGGAGGGGCAGCGAAGGCGGGGCTGCGCACGTGACACCAACAGTGGCTGGTGCTGGAGTGAGTGGGTTGTTGGTGTGGCTCACAGTGAGTGAGATGGATACGACACGTAACCATACATCGACAAGGCAATCAATGCAACACAACAGTCTGACGCTCTGGCTCGCCTGCGCTCCATTCCATTACATTGATCACCGCCTTGATGCTTCAGTGCAGGTCTCATGACTCTATGCAAATATGCGAAACAAAGAAACATTCCGCTTTTGGATTTTCTGCATGTATTTATTGTATCTAGTCACTTGGTCAATTGTAGTGGCGAAAACCAAAGTGGCGGTGCTGATTGCGTGCCTCGATGTGCGTGACTTGGGGGCGCCTGTGATGGTGTCCTGATGGCTGGCGGCGTCGAGATCAATGAGCCTTTGAATGCAGGCGAGGGCGGTCCAGGCCTCAGGCGGTGGCCAGCATTGAAGATAGCGGTCGGCTCAGTGGGTGGGCTGGCTGGCTGGCAGTGGAGCCTCCAGTGTTTTGATATTGGAGTCCGCCTGGAGGAGGGGCAATTGCTGGCGGGCCATTCTCGGTTACCGCAAAAAAGTGGGTTTGCAGCCAACTGCGCTGTGCGAGAGCAGAATTTTCCGCCCAAACATATCAACGTCGCCCGACCAGCAGCCGCAACTCCCAGCATCGAAACCCATCCAAAAGAGCCATCTATCATCAAAAAAAGTCGACGGCCCTTTGTCGCATGCCTTGGTTTATGTCCTGACTTTTTTTCAGCGCGGGTTTTCCGCAAGGTTTCGGCCTTTTCGCCCCCCAAGGCTGCCACCATGGCGACACGTAAAGTCCGCTACAAAAAGCTTAACGTGAAGACTCTTCTGCCCGTTGTTCTCTACTCGGAAATCGACCAGAACGAGTATGAGTCCCTCAAAAACGAGCAGATCTCCACGGGCGTCGAGTCCGCTGAGGAAAATGTGAGTTTTGTTTTTTTCCCGTCACCGTCGCCATATGTCATGTGACCACGTGTCGCGCGTTTTGTCACGTGACCCACCGACACGCCCCTTCATGACATGGCACTGCCAAGGAGACATTACAAGTCACAACTATGCATGCACAACAGCAAGAAACAACAAACCTTATGCCTACCATGTTATCCTTTACTGACAGGTTATAAACACACCTAGGAATACCATCTGCAAGCAGTCCTGCAAACCTCGGGCACCGCGGCGGACAAGGAGATCCCCGTGCCGCCGCCCCAGGAGAGCAAGATAAACTATAACGAGTTATATCCGGTCAAGTTCAACGAGCCCACACACTTCATCCGCTTCTCGCAGACAGTGGAAGAATGTATAGGCTGTCAGTATGACATGACCGAGGATGATGAGGTGTTCCTCAAAAAGTACAACCAGGACCGGGCTGCGCAATCGCAGCTGTCCGAGGATGACTTTGAGAGGATAATGGAGGTGTACGAGGACACGGCTTCGATCCAGGCTCCATATGCCTCGGTTGACCATACCGTCATCCCGTACGACCAGATGGTGCCGGGTCTGAACGAGCTGGATTCCCCAAAGCTCATGACCCATGCCAAGGCTCTCTATGAGTACTGGAAACAGCAGCGCCAGGCCAAAAAGGGGCCGCTGCACGCCAGCCTCAAGTTCGAGACTCATCAGGAGACCGATGAGGGGGATCCGTTCGTCTGCTTCAGGCGAAGGGAGGTCCGCCAGACTCGTAAGACCAGGGCACGAGACGTGCAGAGCGCAGACAAGCTCAAGCGTCTGCGCCGTGAACTCGAGGAGGGACGTGAGCTTGTGCAACAGGCCCACCGCCGCGAGCTCATGAAGCGTGACATGCTGCATGTGGACCGGGCCGTGTTCGAACAACGAGCAAAGCTCAGGGCCCTGAAGATCCATCTTAACATCAAGACGGATGATGAGGATCTTTATAACACAAAGGTATGTGTGCCCCCGCTCTGTAGCGCTGGCCTCCTTGCGGGCTAGGGCGATGCAGGCTGCTGGCTGCGTGGCATGACTGACCAGTTCCACGTGCTACAGCCTCAGAAGAAGAAGCAACCACCAGCCGAGCCCCCTTCGGCCCAGCGACCTGTGGTCGGTGCTTTGCGTGTGCCGCCACGGCCAGGGCCCGACGGGCGGCCTTCGTCCTCGACTGCCGACAATGATCTCGTCCAGCTGTCTGATCAGCTGTTGGAGAAGGAGGCCGAGATGCGACTCGACATCGAGAACAAGATCGAGAACCACCGGAAGTGGAATCTCAACCATATTGATCTCACCCGTGACGCGCTGGAGCCTCTTGAGAGCCAGAAGCAGCCCAAATATCGCCCCGTGAAGATCCAGTACCTCATGACGCCGCCTAACTCGGCGTCGGCCGAGGGTCTGGAAGAACCAACGCCCATGGACTTGGATCAGTCGGAGCCTGTCTCCGGGCCAGGGCCACTTGTTCGCTTTCAGGGACTGGCCGAGGATGATGAGGAGTACTGCCCGGCACCAAAGGAGTACCGCCGTCGCATAGGCCGGTTGAACAGGTTGTGGATTGATAGGCGAGAGATTAATAAGCCTCGGCCAGATCCTTCAGCCGGGGGCTCGGACCGGTGGAAGTATGATGACGACAGTGGGGACGACGAGCTTGTGTGCGAGGTTGACCCGTACGACCTTCGGGCGCTGAAGTTCCGGGCCAGCATTCCGTTCGGCACCCCAGGCACGCTTAACCGGCGTGGCGAGGCGCAGAACGGTGTTGTGGCTAACGGGGCACAAGCGGCAACCCGGCAAGTCCTTCCACCGCCACTCGCGAGCGTTCTTGCTACTGCTGCTCAGCAACAGCAACAGCACCACCACCAGCAGCAAGCAGGCGCCTCATGATGAGGTGCTCGATGCATGCCTGGTCGTTGGGCCATCGTCCTCTTCTCCGATTTTTCGACTCTGCTTTCTCCGACTTGTATACCCCTTGCGTTGTGTTTGGCGGGTGGGCGGATAACAGAACATCTTGGGTTTCTGTGGCGTTGGGGTCTGTCGGCCGGCGGCTCTTGTCTTTCGTTTTCTTCTTCTTTGTCTCAATTTATTCTTCCTCCTCGCTTGCGGCCTGTATATATTCGTCGCGGAGCTTGTACATTTTTTTCAGACTGCAAAGTCGAAGTCTTCAGGAGGGCTGTGTGGAGTGAAGGACCGACGGTCAGCATTACGTTTTGCGTGCTGATGCTCACGAGGCAGCAAAAACTTTTGGAAATAGACAAATGTCGCAGACCCTCTTGCCCGCCAACTGTTGCACGCAATACGTAGGTCCACTTGGCGCCAGTGACGTCCGCTCACGCTTGCGAGCATGAGGCTGGGGGAGGAACGGGAGGCAGTCGGTCGTGCCCGGGAGAAGCTGGCGCGTCCCACGATGACGGACGCAAGCGGACGACTCGGATATGGAGAGCGCGCGTAACAGGATGGGTGCCAGCAGGGCAGGTAGACTCACCTTATGAGACGAGCAGACGCAAGGTTGTTTTTTGCCCGCATCTTGGTGGCGGCCCGGAAGAAAGTTGGGTGGGCGGAAGGCCGGTTCCGTAAGCCGGAAGAGGGCTTCGCGACCGCCTTGCTGGTGGCAGGTAAGCCGTCCTCCTGCCCGAGGAAGCTGGGAGGGGCTTAGCGCTAGGGCTGCGTGGAGAGAGGAAGCGACGAGATTGCATGCGCTGTGCGGCGGGGAGGGAGGGAGCAGGATGTGCCTCTGTAAAAAACGAAGAGATATTCTCCAGGTCGCGGGCGTCAGAGCAGTCCGGGAGGGGGTTTGTTTGGCTGTGTGGCCGGGCCGTGGTCAGGTGTCGCCTTGCTCTGGTCTGGTTGGTGGTGGTTGGTGGTGGTGCGGAGAGAGCGCCGTCCCGTCCCAAAAGAGAGAAGTGAGAGAGCTGGGCCCTTGCTCCGATCTCACACAACCTAACCAGCGCACACAACGCACCAATCGATCTGCCTGCGGGCGCTTGTTTCTTAGCCCCCACTCCCGGCGGGCTCCCCTGCACGGGCCATCACAGGGCAGCAGCAGCAAGCGGGCAGCAGCAGACGAGTACAGTACCTAGACGCCATACTCTGCGCCAGAGCTGTGGGAACTCAAAATCCCCATGCCGCTGGTATCGAGGTCTTTTTTTTTTCCACCCTGCCCTTTCCTGGGAATTTTTTCTCGCCTTGATTGGCTTTTTTTCTTCTTTGACGAAGCCCTCACTGGCCCGCCTGCCCATCCGCAGTCGTCAGAAGTGGGCTAGCAAGGGTCTAAAGAGAAGTGTGACGTAAAAAAACCACACCCTTGAAGGCCCCTCACATGGCCGATGCAGTATCAACCAACAACGACGGGCTTGTTGAGTAGTGCCCTCTCGCGCTGAAATAGTTATCCATTGTTCTCGTCCGGCTGTCTGCGCAGCTGCTTCTCCGGACCGGACTCAAGCTCTCCTGGCAAGGCTGTAGTTTCCAAAGCGCCGTGGTTTTAGCCTTGGTTTTGTTTCGATACTTACTCCCACTTTTCCGGCGCCGCATACGTGGACCCGTCGGGAAAGCATATCTTGTGCCTGCGTCACCTGCCGCCAAGGGGTACGTCTAGCGGTGCATACTCTGAAATACTGTATGGTGTGCGCCCGACGCACATAGGCAGCCAACGGGCAGGCGCGCCGCTTTGTTCTCTGAACCGCCTCCGGAAACTCGGCGCAGTTGCTTTTTTCTTCTCTCTCGGAGCAGCCCCGCACTAAAAGAGGAGATTCTGCTGCATGATACATGCATCACCGGCAGCCCCCCAACATCTGCTGCACCGCACGCGCCGAGGGGAGTGAACCTCCTGCGCAGGCACCGGGGATAGGGGACGGCAGACGGGACAGGACAAGGATATAAACTCCCTCATAGACCCCCTAAAAAACCACACAAAACCATAAAAGAAAAAAAAGAAAAAAAAGGCCATGGCCGCAGACAGTCCAGCAGCCGCAACCCCGCGGCGCCGGCGCATCGCGCTCGGGTGCGAGGGCAGCGCCAACAAGCTCGGCATCGGCGTCATCGCGCACGAGGACGACGGCCCGGGCCCCGCCGTGGTGCTCTCCAACGTGCGCGACACCTTCGTGTCGCCTCCTGGCACGGGCTTCCTGCCCAAGGACACGGCGGCGCACCACCGCGCCTTCTTCGCGCGCGTGGCCCTGCGCGCCCTGCGCGACGCCGGCGTCCGCCCCGACGACCTCGACTGCGTCTGCTTCACCCAGGGGCCCGGGATGGGGGCCCCGCTCACGTCGGTGGCCGTCGGGGCCCGCACCCTGGCCCTGCTCTGGGGGAAGCCTCTGGTCGGGGTCAACCACTGCGTGGGCCACATCGAGATGGGCCGCGCCATCACGGGCGCCGACGACCCCGTGGTCCTGTACGTCAGCGGCGGCAACACCCAGGTCATCGCCTACGCCGAGCAGCGGTACCGCATCTTTGGCGAGACGCTCGACATCGCCGTCGGCAACTGCCTCGACCGCTTCGCCCGCACCCTGCGCATCAGCAACGACCCCGCGCCCGGCTACAACATCGAGCAGCTGGCCAAGAAGGGAAAGGTCCTGTTGGATCTGCCATACGCCGTCAAGGGCATGGACTGCTCCTTCTCGGGCATCCTGACGCGCGCCGACGAGCTGGCGGCGCAAATGTTTAAACAGCAGCAGCAGCAGCAGCAAACACCTCATTCTCCCCAAGACTCCACCACAATCATAACCCCCGAGGATCTCTGCTTCACCCTGCAGGAGACCGTCTTCGCCATGCTGGTCGAGATCACGGAGCGCGCCATGGCCCACGTCGGGAGCCGGCAGGTCCTGATCGTCGGCGGCGTCGGCTCAAACGAGCGCCTGCAGCAGATGATGGGCGCCATGGCCCGCGACCGCGGCGGCAGCGTCTACGCCACCGACGAGCGCTTCTGCATCGACAACGGCATCATGATCGCCCACGCCGGCCTGCTCGCCCACGCCACCGGCTTCGAGACGGCCCTGGCCGACAGCACGTGCACCCAGCGCTTCAGGACCGACGAGGTCCACGTCAAGTGGAGGGACTGAGTTGACTGATGGAGCTGACCGATGGACGGCGTACATGTTTGTGCTCTTTGCTTCTCACATCCGCCCCATTTTGGGCCCGTGGAGGGTACGGCGCGCAATCGGCGTCTCCTACCTAGTGTAATAATAGCAGTTGATGGAGCAGCATAAGAAATATCCTGTCTGATCGTTTGCGGATTCTATCTCGTGTGATACAAGCCAGATGACCTTCTCATCGCATTGACGTTCTACTCCAGCGAGAAAGGGCGACGCTTGATAACGAAATAGGGGTGGAGACGAGAAGAAAAGAAGAACATAGGACAGGAGGAAGGAAGGACATTAGAAACAAGAAAAGCACACTGGAACTGGATATGATGCAAGAAATATGATGGAATATCTATTGCCAGCAGACAAACAACTACTCTGCATCCTTTCCCTTCACACAGCGACCTCCCCAAAAATGATGTTACCAAAGCGCAAAAGCATTGTTGGCCTCCCATCTCGATTTAAGCCGTGCAGCGGTTTTTATTTCCCAGTGTTACCGCCATCTTACCGTCTCGTCATGCCGGTGGTCTAGATGCCAGCCATACCCGAGTCCGTGCTTAGATACCAGAACACCCGCCAAGTACCTGAGCCGTCATAAATCACCGCATACCTCCGTAAACTCATCGCTTCGGCCCAGGCTCGTTACAGGCCATATTATTAGCTTCACGTCATGGAACAGCGGTGGGCGCTTCCGAGTCCTCCTCGCTCATGATAGAAAAGGAAAGGCTGCAGAGTATCCAGGCCCCAGACACCCGAGTGTCAATGGCGACCTGTATACACAAGGAATATTACACCTAGCAAAAGCTATGTTTCGCCCACTCGGAAGGGCTGCAAGAGCACTGAGAGCGCCCACCCATACCGGGGTCAAACGGACGCCCAGACACAGGATTCAGCCATGGACAGGCCGGTCGGTGGCTGGCCGGACAGCAAGATTGGTTGAACATCAGGGAAGAGGTGAGTTTGGCTTTCAACCGTCTGTCGATGTCGGCTTGTAGACGATAGTCGTCACATACTGTTGAGGTGGGCCAGGGGTCAGTCCTGCACACGCCTCATATCACCGTCTCCTGATGTCATAAACTCACCTTGCTCTTGTACCTGGTGGTGGCGGAAACGGCGAGAATGTTATTCTTAATGCTACTCGTCGCCAGGTGGTTCAGAACCGTGTGGTTCGGCATGTTGAGTACGCTGTTGTCGTCCTTGATCAGAACGGCGGCGTTCAAGATGGGCTTGCCGAGGAAGCCCGGGAGGCTTGGCGGCGTGGGTAGCTTCTCGATGGCGTTGACAGAGCGATGGTACGGCTCTGACTCTTCGGGCTGGTCAAAGTCGATGAGGTACTGGGGGATGTCGTACTCGAAACTCTCTATCGGGTCGACCTCCTTGTATCTGATCGTCTTCTCGTCGATCAGGGAGCCACCTCTTGAAGCTGAGAAGTCTTGCTGAGACCCCTTCTTCTCGGCCGCATCCGCACTTGGCGCCCCGGCAGTAGCATCGACCGCTTTTACTTCGATGTAGTTGACAAGATTGTTTCCAAAGTCAACCGTGGTAGGCAGGTCTGGCGACGTCTGCATCTGGCCATCGACGAGGAACCTGACATGGTGTGTTCCCGGCAAGATGTTCATGGTCGCGGCGAACACTCCTGGCTTGCCCTCACTGTCAGGCGATGCGCCCATATAGGTCAGCGAGGCTATGCTTACCGGTGGGTGGGGCAGCAGCAGTTCTGTACTCACACTGGATAGAGCCGATGCTTGCGGTTCCACTGGAAGATGGTGCCGGTGACGTAAATCTTGTCGCCGCCGCCGGGCCACTCGAGAGTGAAGGGCACCGTTGGCCTCGTCTTGTCGACCCTGAGCTCATCCTCGGGCTCATCCTCCATGAAAGTGTTGGCGCTGAGGGCCGATGACTTGCGGTTGAGTGTCTCGTCCGAGTCGAGCGCATCGACATTACCGACCGGGGAGCCCAGGGGGATGTCATCGGCTGAGATTATGGGAGAGCCGGGCGTGTGGATCTCCTCCTCGATGGGCAGTGGTAGCCTAGGTGGACGGGTCAGGTACGATATGTCCTGAATGCTGCTTGTCGCCATCATCACGGACGCCGTGTCAGGGGTCTCTAGACTGCCAGCTCCTCTCTTGCCTGTGTCGCCTGGTGATTCGGACGGCAGTGACCGATGATGGTGGTGGTTGTTCTGCGACGGTATGGGCACCGCGACGGGCCTGGTCGGTTCGTCCAAGAAGGCGGCGACGGTGGCGGCAGGCGCGGGCTGTAGCGGGGGCTGTTGAGCGGGCCTGGACGCCGCCGAGGGCTCGGGGGTGCGCGACAGGCTCGAGGACGGCGACGGGACGGCGATGGGCTGTGGCGGGAGGGAGGATTGGGATTGCGACGGCTTGTGGAGGGCGCGAGCGGCAGGCGTGGTGGAGCCTTGGGCCTGGGCTAGCGACGGCTCGGGCGGGACGACGACGCGCTGGCTGTGGACGGGAATGGGATGCTTGGAATCGCGCCTCGAATGGGACCTCGTCGGGGCTTCGCTGCTCGGGTTGGACGTGTTGGTCGAGGCAGCAGCCGAGGCGGACGAGGACGGGGCCGATGCCGCAGGCGGTCGCTGGGCTGAGCTTTGATTGCCCATTTTCTGGTGCGCGAGGCCCCCCGGGGTCCTCTTTTGGTAGTGAGTGGGGGCGGGTTGGGAGGGCGGTGATTGCAAAGAGGGGGGGTCCCGGCGGGCGGACGCTTTCCGGCTAGGGGGAAGAGCGCGACGAGGACCGAGGGCACTAAACGGGGGCCGTTGATTGGAGGGACGGAAGCAGTCAGGCGCAATGAACGGCTGCCCCTTCCTGAGCCTAGTCGCCGATGGGCTCGGGTTTGGTGGCCAAAGAGCGCAGGCGTGCGAGGCAAGGGCGGAAAAGCGACGGCTGGAGCTGCTGGAGCTGCTCGCACGGCGCCAGCATCAAGGCGAGATGCAGGTCAAGAAACCAAATTGAATTCCGGCTGGCCAAAGGCGAAGGCCCGCCACACGTCCTTGGCGGCCTTGCTTCGTCCAATTCACCTGTGCTGCTGCGGCGGTGGACTAAAACAGACGAGCGGGAAAGGGTGAATCGGACAGGCAGTCGACAGCCAACAACGGTACCGAATCAATCAATCTGTCTATGAACCATTCGAAGTGAGTTTGTTTCCAGCCTGGTCTGTTGGCCCCTGCAGATGGCGGGTGACGCAGCTGGACCCCAAGTTGAGGTCTGGTGGTAGGTTCCAGTTTGGATAGGGAAACTCAAACTTACATGTAAGGCAGTTCCAGTTTGTTTGGCTTGTGATTGTTGTCAACACGGTCAAGGCAGGCTGACGGCCTCAACGTGCCAATCCCATCAGTCATCAACCTGCAATTGAACCCCCCTAAAAACAGTTCTGAATTCGCCAACCGCCTGGGACCACCCGCTGCGAGCCTGGATTGACTTTGTGGCGTGGTGGGGCAGCTGCCAACGGGAGAAGTCGCGAGGCCCGTGGTTTTCCCGACCATCGAGTCTGCCCGCTGGCGCATGTGAGAGTGACGCAAACCCGCAGCAGCGTCGATGAGTCGCGTGTGCACTGTGCACCGTCAGACCTCAGCCCGGGCATGGGTTGAGCTTCCCGTTGGACATGGGCAGAGAACTCCTCCATGCGTAGACAAGGACGCGGGCCAAGAACTTGGTTCACGTGCAATGGGCCGCTCTTGGGCTCCATGTTGGGTGCTTTGTTGACCCCAGCGCCCGCCTGTCCCTGGCATGGGAGCTCCAGCGGCGGACTAGCCAAAACGGGACACACTCGCAGCGATAACTGCCCCCAGCCCCAGCCCCGGCCTTGGGGAACCTCCGCATTCCATTTGCTCACCAAGGAGGCTGATCACAACTGCGTATCCTCCACCGCACGTCGGGGGAAGGCGCAACACTGCGCGGCCAACTTTTGGCAAAAACTGGGAGATTTTGCGCCTCGGTCAGGGAACAAAAAGGACGACGTACCCTTAGCCGAGGCTCAACAAATCGTCTGCCTCGTCGTCACACGGTTCCGTACGGTGGTACGTCGAGCAACCTGCAGGCAGGAGCGACATCTTTTGGCGGCTGAGCCCGGACCGAACGATACCGGCCGAAGGTGACGCGCGCACGCGACTGCCCGGGATATACCATATCCCCTTATCCGATTGCACCAACTCCATACCTACATACAGGTGCCTATCGTAAATTCCAGCCCCGATGGATAAAATAGCACCCGCGGTCGTGCTGTCGGCGCTGTCGGCCATCCCGTCGGCCATCGTCGCCATCGCCGGCATCGTGGTCAGCCTCGCCGGCGCCGCCTACGCCCTGACGGTTACGGTTTTGGGCTATGCTCTCACCGCCGCGGGCGCCATGATCACGCTCGCCGTCTACCCCGTCTCCCTGGCCTGGCGCGTTTTGTTCCTCGTGCTGTCACCCGTCATCTACACTGTCGCCTATGCGCTGGCGCCGGTTTGGTTTCTCGTCGGGCTGGCGCCCAAGCTGCAGCCTCTTTATATATACGTACGTGCGTTTTGTTTTCCACGCATCCCCTACCCTGTGGATTCCATGTTAACATGGGATCAAATAATACAGTTTGGCTCAGCAGCCTTCGTTGGCATCATCACCGGCGTTGTCGTCAAGATCATTTCCGACTTGTCCGTCTCGGTGCTGAGACTGGACAAGGAAGAGCCCGCCGCCGACAGCGCGTCGCAGCTGGCGCGCCGCGGGAGCACCGCCAGCACCGCCACCTCGTCGGCTGCCGCTCAGCAGCAGGCGGCCCCGCCGTCGTCATCCGCCGCCATCGCGGGCAAGAAGCGCGGGGAACGCGAGGATGACTACTTTGCTAGCCTCGGCCTCCCCGAGATCGACTGGCAGGTCATTGATCGTATCGAGAGTAGAGGTCCTCACAGCGAGCACATGCGGAGGATGCCGTTGCTGCAGTCAATTATATTGGAGGAAGAGGAAGATGACTCTTCCAATGGCGGCTATTGACGAAAAAAGGAGCCCGCGCAGGGACTTGCACACCCGCCGCGCCGGCCTGGGAACCTGGTCTATGTGATAATACTATAATACAGAGCATGAAGAACTGCTCTCCTTCGAGTGTCGACCGCTCTCTCCGCCGCCTTCAAGTTGCCTTTGAGGATCGCTGTCAATGCCGTGTAATGTTGTATGGAAGAAAAAAAAAGTGCCAAAAGGAAAAGGGGTGAAGAAAGACGAGATAACAAAGACGCAGTCAGACTTGCTGTCGATCAGCCACGCCCGGCGTGCAGGGGAAGGCGTGACGGGAACAGTTCGTCGATCAGGGACGTGGGGAGGAGGTCTTCCAGATCCTATCTTCGCCGCCTCGCCGGTGGACCCTATCTCCGGTAGACTTCGCGATCGCGATCTCGGTCCCAGTCTCGCTCCCGTTCCCTGATCGGCGACCGGCTGCGGGTTCTGCTGTTTCGTGGCCGGTCGTCGTACCCGCCGCCGCGGTCTCTGTCGTATCTGCGGTCATCCCAGTCGTCGCGGCGCCTTCGATCGTCACGCGGCGGCGGCCTGTCGTCTCGACGTCCTCCGTCGCGTCCCCCGCCGCCGTAGCTAGGGATGTATGTGTCTACATCGACGCGACCACCGCCGCCACCGCCGCCGCCGCCGCCACCCCTACTCCTGGGTGGATCTCGGTCTCGGTCTCGGTCACGGTCTCTATCCCTGTCTCGATCCCTGTCTCGGTAGGCCGGAGCGTGTTCTGCACCATCCCACCCATTTTGCGAATCCGCCGGCGGAGGCGGCCGTGGTGGTAGGTTGAGATTCCTATCCTTCCCCCATCCCGGCTGCCTTCGATCATGGTCGCCGTTTGTCCTCGACGGAGGGCCACCATATCTGCCACCATTTGTCCCGTTTCGGCTATAATCTCCGGGGCCGTCCATGGGACCGCGACCTACCGCGCCGCCCTTAGGGGCAGGTGGTAGCGCCTTTGGAGGGCGGTCGTGGTATCTCCGCCTGTCGAGCTCGTGGCTGTCCTCGAAAGTCGGTATGTCGCTGGGTTTGGCCGGATAGGGAGCGCTCTGAAAGTAAGGATGCTTCAGAGCGTCCATGGCATTGACCCGAGATTTCCAGTCAAGTTTCAGGAGGTCCTTCAACAAGGAAACCGCACCGCCTCCGTATCTACGCCGCAGAAATGTCAGATAAACAGGCCCGCAACGTCGAGGTTTCGGAATCGATGCAATACTCACTCTCGGAACCGTTGCGATAGGTTGCCGGGCCGTGACTTTGGTTGTATGGCCTCCGCTCCGGGCAAGCTCTTCCATCCGGGCATATTCTCATCTGTAGGTGAACCACAAAGATCCCAAATGATCTCAAGCTGGTGTCCGTCACTCTCGCCAGAGAGGATCGGCTTGCCCACAAGCATCTCTCCGAACACGCACCTGAGGGCCGGGGATTAGCAAAAGCACGATATGATGGGTAGCAAGATGGAGCACATACCCAACTCCCCACATGTCAATAGCCGTCGTGTAGGACTTGAGATGCAGCAGTAGCTCGGGAGGACGGTACCAGCGCGTAACCACAAGACTAGTGTAATTTCTCGAGCCCTCGCCTCCTCCGCGGCCTGGCTGGGGCGTCGGGCCATCGTAATGGCGGGCCAGACCAAAGTCGGCGATCTGTAGTATTCCCTGGTTGTTGATGAGAAGGTTGGCCGCCTTCATGTCACGGTGGAGGATATGATTTTCGTGCAGATACTTCAGCCCCTCGAGAAGCTGCATCAGATAGCACTTGATCTGCGGCTCGGTGAACCTGACAGACGGGTTGTCGAGGAGGCCCGAGAGATCGTGATCCATGTACGGGAATACCATGTGCATTATTGGGCGTTTGCGTTTGTCGGCTACAGAGTGACAGCAGGACTTGTGAGCGGAGGCTTCGCCTTGAGAGTCGCGGATACGGAGGTGCCAGAGATTAAAACTCACAGGTCCTCGGTAGGTGCTCCACTGCCATGTCTTCGAGCTTTAGCACATTCTCGTGCGATAGCAGTTTCATCAACTTGATTTCGCGCAGCGCCGTGATGGGGAACTGAGCGCCGAGTAACCGCGGTTAGCAACAGCAAACAAAAATGGACAAAAAAACAGACGGAGAAAAAGAGCACGGGGAGACGCACCCCATCCTTCTCATTGTGCATGATGATCTTTTTCAGTGCGACGATGGCACCCGTCTTCTTAGCCTTGGCCTTGTGGACCTCGCCGAAGGTGCCCTCGCCCACTTTGTCGGTCACTTCATAGTCTGAGTAGCGGGAGCAGCCCGTGAAGCTGGACTTGGGCCGCGCGTGTTGGATCGCAAACGACCGTGGCGATAGGGGCGGCGCGGTCAGCGCGCCGTTGTCGCGGCTCTCGGCGGGGGCGCCCATGATGGGCGCTGCCTCGTCGCGCGCGTGTCAGGGGGCCTTTGTCTTGGCCGTGGCCCGAGTCGAGTAGTCGGATGGGAGACAGCAATGTCGGGACAAGAAATGTATCGAGACGGCGTGGGCGTTCCTCCTTCCTTCCTCAGTCCGCGGTCGTTGGATGCCGGGGATGGAAGGGCGTTTGTGCTCAGCACGAGCCCATGCGGCCAGGAAAAGGATGAGAAATGACTGGGGTGGCTAACAAGCCTCAAAGCGCCCTGTCGATTATGCTCCAGGTTGGAACGCGAGCAAGCGCAGAGAGCTGGCGGAAATAGTATTAAGAAAGCGAGCAGGGAATGAAAAGAATGGGAAAGCAGATTGTACAGATTCACATTCTCCAAAGAATCAAAGCCATACCATGGGTTTTGGAGAAATTTTGGCAGACGGGTGAGGCAACGCGGGTTGGGACAGAATTGGTCGCATCCCCAAGGCGCCTTGGATGGAGCTCTGGTAGTGCACGCTCCATTTTATTCAGATCCATGTATCGATTGTCCTTGCCTGCCCCGACATCTTAGCGCGCTCCAATGGCAAGCGGACTGTGGCGCCGTGGAAGTGGCAGCCCAGCCCAAGTTGATTGGGCACTGTGCTGTTCTCGCCAGCCTCACTCCTCCAAGGAAGCATTTGGGCAAAGGTACTCTGGTGTTTCTGGGTACAGTGGAGAATATTTACAAGAAAGAAAGAAAACCCCACGCAACATCAAAGTCCCGGCTCTTGGTAGCTGCTAATTTGACTCTTCCCCTGTGTAGAGGTAACTTCAACCGCGTGCACTGTGCGACTCGCCCGGGACTTCCACCTGAGATTTAGGCAAAGAACCTATCAGCAACCCACCTCTGGCAGCAGTCTCCACCTCGACGCACCAGCAATTGGGCCTGCGGCGTCGACCACAACTTCTACTTCTAACCTACCCGCGCCATCCCATCCCACCTCCGACCTCCGACCCCGACGCCCGGCACGACCGACCGCCTCGAGAACCGAACAAAACACCCGAAACCCGCCATGGCTGGCCCTCAGCAATTGCCCAAGGGCGCTTTGTACCGGGCTCCCCCGGTCTACCGATTTGTCGGCACGGCGCTGGGCGCAAGCATGTGGTTCTTCGTATGTCCCTCCAATGAGGCTATATCTATGTGGAATCACGCTAACAATCTACGTCCTCGATATAGCTCATGTACAGGGCAAAGAAGGACGGTACGGTCATCCATTTCGAGGTTCCCGAGGCGTCCTCCGCGACAAACCTCGCCTTAGCACCCGCTCGTTGCAGCCTGCGAGTTCCGTTTACTAACTCGTCCGACTGTCGCAGGCCCCGTGCTCCTGGGCTGGAAGCATCCGTGGGACCACTGAATGCTCTTTCGAGCTGCAATGAGGACGGGCTATGGATGAGCGCGGCCAGCACCGACTCGACCAGCTACAACCGCCCATCGAATCACGTCACCCTTGGGTCTCAGCAAAGAGATTGGGATACGCTGGGGACTGCAGAGGCACTGTATATATCACGGAGGCGGGCGTCTGGCCCCTGAAGAAACCCAGGCCTACTCTCTGACATGCTACAAATCACCACTGGGCTTCTCGAACAGGTAATGGGCCACGCCCCATGTGTCCCCGCCTTCATATGCGAACAGCTCTGAGCAGGCCATGTAGAAGACCTGCCACCGGTTGTACCAGGTTGCCGCGTCCTTTTCCCCGTATGTCTCACACAGATGCGGCCAAATCTCCTTTTTGTTGGCCACCATCTTTGCCAGCCAGTCCTATGGGTGTGTTAGACGAAGCCCCTCTGAACGATGCGTGGCCGGAGACCAAAGGACCAAACTCACCTCGCAAGTCCTGGAGTAGTGGCTACCGTTCACCCACCACTGCCTCTCGATCTTGAGGTGCTGCTGGAAGTACAGCAGTAGGTCGGCGCTCGGCATGGTGCCGCCCGTGAAGAAGTGCGTCGTCATCCAACCCTCCTCGTAGTCGTAGGGGCTGTCCCTGTGGGCAAAGATGTGCACAAACAACTTGCCGCCGGGCTTGAGGGCGCGCGAGATCTTGGCCATGAGGAGCTCGTAGTTCTTCATGTGCTCGAACATCTGTTGTCGGCAGCGGCGGGTGAGTTGGGGAGCGACAAACGATACAGCACTGCTGAGGAGTAAAGGCGATGTCTTTTCCTTTCTTACCTCGACGGAAACGACGCGGTCGAATTTGCCGTGCTCAAACTCGTAGTCGGCGACATCGCCCGTGATGACAGTCAGGTTTGTGAGCCCCTTTTCTGCGGCCTTGGCGTCGATGTACTCCTTTTGCGTCCGCGAGTTGGAAAATGCCGTGATCCGGGCCCCAGGGAGCACCTCGGCGAAGTAGAGCGCTCCGGAGCCCCAGCCGCACCTGGACAGGCATCAGCCTCAGCAAGTTTCCGAGTTGGTACCTTGCCAAGATAGGTATCTGGGTCTACCTAGGAACTCATCTTCAGAAGGAAAGGATCCCAACCCCAACC